TGTGCGTACGCACAAAAAGCGTAATGTTGATGATAGCAAGCGAACATTTTGTGATTAAATCAACATTTTTATGGCAAACAGAAATGTGGAAGGAAAATTTTCACGCAGAAATTTTCTCATTTTCATTCATTTCATTATTCGACACCAAAAGGTATTATGATAATATTGCGACTATGCGCGACTCATAAACGTGTATCTATAACAATAAACATGCGGCATTTATGAAATGTTGATGATGATCATTATAACGATGGTGATGAAATTTATATATGTGAGAAATTTTCAATGAATCATTTTCGATAAATGTATTTTTAAGACATCCTAAATGTTTTTGGTGTCGTGAAAATTTTATGACAATGAGAAAAAAAAAATCAAAATATTTATGATACAATTTTATATTTCACACGTATCTGTGGATTTTTGGTTTCTATGTGGAAATTTGAGGTAAATTTTGGTGGTTTTGGGGGCATTAACATATGACGTCTAGGAAAAAATTTGATTTTCAGACATCTCTTTCTTATTTTAGCATTTAATATAATTTGTCACACGACACTTGAATTGGCACCCCCTCCCCCTCCCCCCAACCTTCCTTCTGGAAATTGCCTTGACAATTAAAATTCAAAAGGTTGTTAGAGCAAAAAATCGAATTTTACAATTTTATGTTTACAAAATGCGTGTTCATGCAAATGTCTAAACATGTCAATATCATATCGTATCAAAATGTACATATAAAATGAAAATTTCTCATTCCACATACCAATTACATGTATATACACAATTTACCATCTTTACGAGAAAGAAAAAAAATACATTGTAGTCATTTGACTTGAAACTCTTTAAAAAATTGAGCGAAAATTTAAAGCGACATGATATTAGCTTCCCTTGAGAACGTTATTTGATGTAAATTTAATGATTATACATGTGTGGGAGGGTGAAAGATAGCAAGCAAATAATCGATGGAAATAATTAAAATAATTATCAAACTCACGCACATTTTTACTATGATTATTAAATATTCTAGATGTGGTATCGTACCATTATTAGCATTATTAAAATATAGGCTTTTGTGTTTATTTTATTTGAAATATTTATGCTTTTTACTCATGTGATGTATTGTAGCTAGATAGATATTTATTCATATATTTCAAATTTCAGAAGTTTTTGATTATATTAAAAGACAAAGGCATAGAAATGATAAATTTTGGGCCCACCCCCCCCCCCCCCCCCCCTCTGAGCCCCACGATGAACCAATTTCATCAAAACACTAGTGAAAATTGAGGAAAAAATTCAAAATTTCTGAACACATCCCTGCACAGTCTAGCTTAATAAATTCAGTAGGAATGAAGATTGACACAAAACGATCCACAGATTGCGTAAAATAAGTAATGGATAGTAAAAAACTTATAAAGTACTCTTAAAACATACATTTATATTATTATGGGATAATTCACTTAGATCTTTAACATTAATAACTGCACATGCACGTAAGTCCTTAAGCATTATAAGAAATAATTAACTTTTTTTCTATCCACGTTAACTTTTCCTATCATGACTTTATCCTACTTATTTTTTTTCTCTCTTCTTTTATTAATTTTTGCCATCATATAGTCCCATTTACACACATATCCTCGTAAAAGACTCCCTTCCATTACGTCAGAGTTTGTTTTATTTTGCTTCCCTTGTGCTTCTAGCATTTTATACTTTTCATGTATCAATAAGGGGCCACTCACTTATGACGTCCAGGGGGGGGGGGGGGGGGTGTCAGCAAGAAAAGATCCAGGAAATCTATTGTTCTTTTTTGAAAAATGACCATTAATTTTGGACGTCATAAGTGAACGACCCCTAATGACAATAAGGCTTATTTCTTATGAATAATCAGTTCATGTGATTTTTAACTCATGATGGACGTTACGTAAATCGAACTCACGACCTCAAAAGAGGCAACCTCTGACCACTAGATCAGAGATCCCTGCCACTCGACCACCAAGGCACTTATCCCACTTCGGCTATCCATCATACACATACAATCAGTTTCAAAGTGAGCCTTATGCTCAGACCTCTTCGAGCCATATCCACACGTCACCCCTTATCAGATCGAAATGCGTTCCAAGAAGAAAAAAAAAATCAAAATAAGACTTAAGTGAGACCATGAAAAATGATAGGATGTTGAAGAACTTTTCAAGTATTTTCATATCAATGAAACCTCCTAAAATATTCACTTGAATGGAGACAAGTTTCATTGGTAATAAAAGAAGTTCCAAGAATTATAATATAAACAAATTTCATCAACTTTGAATTTCACTTGCTTCCGTCAGATCCGTTTTTACTTATTTTTATGATATTTATCTTCGAAACTTTTCCTCTTCTTTTTTTGTTTGCCTTATTTGCTTCCATTGACATTATCCACATCCACTCTTACATGACTATTCACTCATAATAACTATTCATATATAGACTGAGACACAACTGAGTGAGTGTGAATGAAATGAGTGGATGTACCCTTGAAGAAACTTTATCAATTTTGTAGATTTTGGAATCGATAGTGCTGCAAATGGCTGGTTTTTGGTTTGGAAGCTTGGTGGGTTTAAAATCTGTCAAGGAGGTTCATTTATGTCCGAATTGCCAAGTGCAATTAAGTCCGAATATGCTAAAGATACTACAAGGGACAGACCAATAGAAATTCCATGGTAAGTAAGAAGCACAAGAAATTGTCAATATTAAATGTGTACATTTGTTGCCATGATGTCTCGAGAAAAGGAAAGAAGGAAAAAGTATATGAGAAAAGGCATAAGCACATTTATATTCACATAAGCCAATATTATTGAGACATGATGCGATGCTATGATGCCGTTAAAAATATCATGGATGTCGAAGACATGATAGAAACAGAAATGGAACAGAGAGTGAAATTTTCCCCCATCCTCATCTATCCCCCTCTTCCTTCTCTTCTTTATATTGCTTATGACATGAATATTTTTTATTACATCTTATCAACTCGTTATGCGTCTTTTTTTTTCTCTTCTTTTCCTTATTTTTCTTGCTCAACTACAATCATCATCATCATCGTCATACGTACGTACACATTCGTCCTTTATGATACTCTTCAATATAAAAATAGCTACAAGAAATAGTATATTATATGAAGATTGTGATGATTACATAAAAGTAATACCGGAAATGGGAATTGACAAACATGAAAATAAGTAGAAAAGTTGATATAAAAATATGAATGACTCTGAGGCATTTGTCTTGTAAGCAGTTTTTCCTGAGAATATAATCTAGACATTTTTTTGGGTAAAATTTGTTTGATGTATGACAATAAAATTTATTTCTGTGAAGATTCACGTGCATGCATGCAAAGCATTATTCTTCAATTATTAATCCTCGCTTGCCTCCTCCTCAAATCGAATCTTAATGTATTAGTCTTATTCATCACCATCATTATCCAAAGATATACACACAGTATTGGCTCATTATGCCATGAAAAGGATGATGTCAATGTCATATCAATGTAAGTCAAAAAGGAAGAAGGAAGAAATATTCTGTCTTTCTTCATCTCCATTTATTTCTTTCTGTTCTCGTTTTGATGATCAAACATAAAAGTTTGATTGATACATAAACAGACATAAACACGAACATCATCATAAAAAAATTATAAGGCAAAGATATGTTCTTTTTTTTGTGATGCCATTTTTGCTTTTTTTTTCAAGAATAACGATGATGGTGATAATGGCATGAGGAAGAGACAGAAAGTGATCGACATTTTAACATTTTTGCTCCTTTTAAAGCACTTTTGATGGTTAACTGTTTATCAATATGTATTTGGTTATCTTTATGAAGATGGCTTATAATGGGATTAAAATTATATCTTATGCTGGATATCAAATGAGGGGTTATTTATAAATAATGTCTGATTTAAAGTGGGGGTGAAGGGGTGCTCTGTCGCTGAGTGACATTTCCATTGAAAATAAAATAATTGAAAGTTTTGCAACAGAGAAAAAAAATTCAAATGTCTAATAGACATCATTTACGAACGATCCCTAAACACAAATGAGAAAAATTCTATACCAGTAATGTAAATCCATTGATGAAGAATATGTGCGAAATGAATATTGGGATGATGAGGACCCCAATTATTTTTGATGAGAATTTAAATGATGATTTCAGATAATTTAGGGATCGAAGCGATACAGGATATCATATCCATATAGTTTGATGAAAGGATTATCTTATCCTAAGCTTAAAGAAACGAGTTGAATTTACTAAAATGAGGATGTGATGTCCATCATTAATGGAGGGAGAAGGGATGGCTTCTGAGCCTTTGCATGTAAATTTGTCAAAGAATAAGTGAAGGATAGTCTGAAATTCCCATTCTTATAATGAACTAAAAATAAATGACAACCCAGAATTCAGTTCTGTAATACGTCGCATCCCTGCAATGATCACAAAACCCTTCACATCATCTATTCTTCAAAAATACTTTGACATCTCTTTCATCATTTAACGACGTACTTTTGAGATATAAAAGTCAAACATCTCTTTTTCTTCTCAGGTAAATGTGAAACTTATAAAAGTCATGTATTGAAATATCCTTTGCATCGTTATCAATTTTCATCGCTATCGATTTTACAATAGTCGTAAAAAATGGTACAAAATTTATGTTTCTTAAATTTTTCCTTTCTTTCTTTTTTGCTGCCAATAAATGTTTTACTTCTTTTACGATACACATGAAGCACCGTGACGACGTGCGTTGAATATTGAAAGAAGTAAAAAGTTTAAACCTTTTTGTTGGTGGTCATAAAAGCAGTATTTGTATGGGTTTAACTTATAAATGAGTTTTGTACTGATTCTAAAATATTTAGCCATATGTAGCTTGTAATGCTACAAAATAAAGTCTCAAGGAAAAAGTAAGAACTTAACAATAATCTAATAATTCAACCAAACTATGAAATAATGCAACAAAATATCAACAAGTAAGTATGTAGAAGAAATCAACTCACCTGTCCCATATTAGTGAATCCATATTTTCTAGCAATTTCATTTGCCACTTCAATTCCACCGAGGATGTGAACAGCAAATTCATTTTGATAGATAACACGCGGTCGTGTTGAAAATGATGATGATGAAGTTAAATTTATAAAATCCTCAATTCCGTTATCAACAAATAACGCTATATCATCATCGATTTCAGCAAGTAAAGTTCTCGTATAATTTGTTGGTTTGTCATTGTTATAATAATTATGTTCCTTACTATTACTATTTACATTAGGTGATGAGTTTAAAATTGAATTAGAATTTACAGCACCGATCACATATTCCGATTTAACAATTACACAAATTAGCACCAGTAATAACCACGAACTCGCACTTGTCTTTCTCCGATACTTAATAAACTTGTTATGACCTAATAATGATAATTGTAGTTGTGGCTGTTTATGCCTATTGGTGCTTATATCACTTTCATCTACGATTAGCGATTTCCGATGTTCAGTGTCTTTTGCATAATTTTTACAACCTCGCGTCACATTTTTATGATGTGCTGACAATGTGCTCGTATTTTGCATTTTATGTCTGCTCTTCCACACTCTTTTATTATTTTTCTGTGCTTCTTTTTGCTTCGAATTTTTTTTATTTCTGCTTGCCTTGTCGATATTCACACAAGCAGCTCGACACAGAGGCACTGCTGCTTATGTTATGATTATGTTTTTGTTCTTAAATTGCTTCGACGATTGAATTTCATGTGAAATTTTTTATTATTTTTTATTGATGATTTTTTGATGTTTACTTTGTTAATTCTTTATTTTTTTATATTCACAGATTGGGCCTACATATGTGTGTATATTTTGTATGTTTGAGTGTGTTTTTATTTTTCGTGTATACGTATATATTCAAATTTCAGTCATTTCTATCTGTTTTTGAGAATTTAATTAAAATTTTTTTGATGTCTTCAAATTCTTGTTGGAAAATCGATGAGTTTCTTTAAAGGGAAAGAATAAACAGGAATCAACAACAATAACAGATAATGATGATGGTGATGAAGATGGTGTAGACGAGCGACTGAAAATAGAAAAATAAATAAAACCAATTAAATATCAATTAAGTGTTGAAGGATTCAATCAATTGCAGATATAGAAGACTGTAATTCCACACTTTCAATTTTATTAGAGTTTGCAACCTTTTCAAGCTTTAGTATTTTTTTTTATTTCCAATATTGATGACAAATGAGAATGAAAAGGGAAATGCTAAGTGAGCTGTCATGTGCTTGATGGCTGTTAGTATTTAAACCTAGCTCTATATTATATATGCTTACAGGGGTGTAGTCAGTGTTTTTTTTGGGGGGTTAAGCACCCTTTTCCCTACCTGCTTTTTGAAAGAAAAAACCAAATCATTACAGGTCGATACAAGAAGATCCCCCTCCCCCACCCTTTACCTTGGATTTTTTTCAAATTTTAATTATTTCCTCATCAAATTAAACGGTTATTCACTTATGACGTCCAGGTATGGGGGGGGGGGGGGGGGCAAGAAAAGAACAATTGAAACTCCTTGAAATCCATTTTTCTTTTTTTTAAATGACCATTAATTTTGGACGTCATATGTGAGCGACCCCTAAGCTAGATGATTTTGTAAATTTGCAGGCCTTTAATTTTGCCGACATTCACAGATTATAAATTTTTATATTGGAATTAGCATTGACTGTTAAATTTATGTTAAATTATTGACTTATTGATTGAGCATGCTGAATTACAAATTAAATGCACATCAAACCGAAATTAAATTTGCAATTTATTTGCATCAAATTTACAGAATGAATTAGGAATTTTGTTTATGCTGCTCATCCATCAACATTTAAATGAAAGCTTTGGGGTATTTTGACTTTTTTGGAAGTAAAAATTTTGAGGAGCTGCTTTTTTTATGACGTCCATTGAAAATGAAATTTTAAGACCCTCCCTCCCTAAAAATTGAAATTTTCTATTTTTAAATCTCAAGCATGTCACTTCCCTCACTTTTTGACGACATAAGTGAACGTCCCCTAATGCAACCACTAAGAAAAGGAACGTGTTCTAATCCTCCTTCAATTTCCTTTCCATCACATATCATCTGCATCCTCTTCATTGATAAACAAATATTTACATATGAAAATAATATTATGTGAATTTATCGACACACAAGCAATATTTGTTGTACCTATTTATCCATCAATTCCTTCCTTATCTCTCACTCATTCCCAATTTTCATTTCCCCACCCATGCACATATCATTTCCCTTATGGGAAAAACAATTTTTGGATGATGAATAAATTTTGATGAGAATGCTGTACATTTATATTGATTGCATAGCATATTTATGCTATTTTTTTCTATTTACATTTTGATTTATAAAATTTGCATTAAATGTCAGTTGAGTATTTCAACTTCCATTTCAATGAATTTAGATAGAAATTGCCGAAAAATAAATGGCAATAAAACAAAATAAAAAATAAATTTTTGACATTCTATAATGAAATTTATTTGAGTGTGTGCACTTTTCAATCATTCAAATCATGACACATGAATATAGTTGCAAATATCGTGCATGAATGAAAATCAATTTTTATCAACTCAACTTGAAATTTAATTTTTCAATTTTTCAGTTTTTATCTATTGTATCTCTTGATATTCAATTTGATTGAAGATATGCTACATGCTACTCATGTTCCTATCATTTCATTACACATCACTACTCTCTTACTCACATACGTGCATGAACACATCAAAATGATGAAATTTTTTTTTTTAAATCAATTCAATTAAAATAATTTTTGTTCTGTCCTTTATTGATGCACACATTGCCATAATAAAATATTCAAATTGAAAATATTGCGGACATGCACTCATAAGTTGGCAATAAAATTATATTTTTATTTAAAGTTGGTTTGAAATTTTTGTTGATTGGAATTTAGCATATTTTAGGATTGTCAATCATTTTAAGGAATAATTTATTTATCACTTTGTTGTCAGCGTTTGAAAATTTATGCAAAGTCAACCCCTTTCCTACCTGTCAATTATAAGGCTGACAGACACGATAACCTATCCAAAAACCTGGCTAACTTCACACAAATAACTCTTATTATTATTATATCAAGAGTTTGAATTGTGACATCAAAAATGAATATATCAATCAGTATATTGGATTACGAATATGCATTCAATCACTGTTGAGAGTAAAGTTGAATATTATTTTTTAAAAAAAAAATCTAAATTCATTTATCATTCAATTATCTGTGATAGAATAAAAATAGAATTTATTTATAAAAAAATATTTATTCACGTGAAATGATAACTAGACGTGAGTTACTGATTATGCACATTTATTCTTTTTAAAAAAATAAAGAAAAGTAGTTCAATGGAAAGAATACTAGCTTGATATGTAAATTTGCACGAGTAAACATTTTTTTAGTTCATTAAAATTCTTTTAATTGAACTTGAAGTATTTTTGAACTTCACAAGCAATTTAAAATTCAACAAGATACTATGTAAGTAACCTAATATTGTAAGACCTAATACTACATTTGTCTCAGTACTAGAGTGACAGTAACAGATTTTATGGATGGCAAGAGATCACGGGGAAAACCGAAGATCTCGTGGAATTCGATGTGTTGAAAAGGACACTAGAGTCCTTAATATTCCGAACTAGCAGAAGGTTTCTAAGAATGGTGCTGTTTCAGACGATCTCTAAGCGCGGCAATGAGCCTACGTGTGCCTTAGCCAAGGAAGTAATTAAGTAATACTACATTGAGACTTTAAGCCAAGTTTCTTTTGAATTAAAATTCAAGACATAAGAATTCAAAGTTGGAGGTCATTTTCTATAATGGAAGGGGGGGGGGGAGGGGGGTTGGGTCTTAAAATAATATTATATAATATAATACATAAAAGTAACAAAATTTACTATGAAAGTTTGAAAATGTCTGCTAAGAATCTCATTTTATAATGGACATCATAAGTAAACGACCCCTCGATTCTGCCATTATATCCAACAAGAAACTTAAAGTCTCAACAAAAACTTAATTAACCTGACCTCGAACATTTCATCGTATGAATGTATGAAAATTAAAAGTTGATAATCAAAGAACAACAGACATAATAAAATGAGCAAAAATTAAATTGCTGCTTTTATTTTATTTATTATTATTGTCGTCATGAATACAAACAGCAACGATAATAATGACAATCATGTAATGGTCATCACCCATACAATCGACAGTGTATTTTCTTATATGTTCGTGATAAATGAATGGCAAAAAAATGACATTGATTGTTGTACTTGTCGAATTGTGTGATGGAATGAAGAGGCATTTTAAATGAGAATCAAGTTTATTATTGGAATATGAGCTGTTGAAGTATTTTTTGTTAATGAAAAATGTTGTGAGAGGGTGACTTTTATCTGCCTTTGTATAAATATTTTCAGAGCTATAATAAACTTTTTAAACATTGAAAATATTCATGAACATTATAAAACATTGAAGAATTTAAATTAAATTAATTTTACAATCAAAAACATTGCAGTCAATCAAAAACGTGACTTAAATTTTGTATACAAAAACATTGAAGATTTATTTTATAAACAATCACAGAGTTTTCTTCTTTTTTGCTTAATCAACGTCAGGGTCATAGCCAGGGAGAGGTTATTTATTTTTTTTATAGAAAAATCCCAAATCCTCATAAAAGTTAAGCCCCCCTTTTTCTCTCTATCTTCACCCCTACTTTACATCATCACTTGAGCAATCAACATCGCTAGTTTCTGACACGCTGAAGTCAATTAATTTAAGATTCATTCGAAGTTTATTATATTTTTATATCATCATCATCTTCGTGATCAGGATTTCGAGAAAATTGTTTGTTTTTTGTGTGTTTAATTCGAAGATGATTTTTTTCATGCTTTTTTATCAAGCAGACGATTAAATTACCCATCCAGCCAGTCAATTTCAATCACTTAACTTTCTCTCTCTCTCTTTTCTGATTTTTCAATTATTTTATTGCTCGTTTTTGTTTGCTGTTGTTTTATCGAGTGAAAAAGCTTCTTGTGTATGTCTTCATTTTTGAATGACTTGAATTTTTCGAGGGTATGAAGAAGCAGTTTGGGATATGAAGGTGTGTATAACAGGATAATGAATGTAAAGGCTTCGTTGAATTTGAATCATTAAGAGTACGTGATATTCAAAGAGCTTTAGATTTCAATCTAATAGATATATTGAGGAGTATATAATGATGCCTGACCCCTGTTCTTAGTCTCTTTTCGTAAAAATCAAGGGTACGGTACTGAAGAAGTAATCAAAGTGATTTATCAGTTCCACACACTTGGGAAAAATTAGACCTAGAGCCAGTGTCTAAGGGTAATAATGTATCCCTATCCTAGCAAAATTTTAAATTAATTATTTTGTCTAAAGATTGTAATTAGATCGATCAGTGATTCTAGTGTGTGGGCATATCCAGGGGGGGGATGTGAGTCGAATGAAAACTACATTGTTGTTTCAAAAATGCGTTGACGTTTCCAACACCACAAATTACTCTCCAACTTATTAAAATTATTTCGTACAAATACATTTTTTTTCTCTTCTTGCCTGAAGCAATATTATCGAATGAATATTTATAGCTTTACTTAAAGATCAGAACAGAACAGAATAAAAACAAAAAAAAACATTGAAGAAAAGGAAGAAAAAGTTTTCCTTTTTTTATATAAAGTCATGAAATACACAGAAAAAAAAAAGTTGAGAGATCAATGGTGTGAGAGGGTTCAATGGAGCTCTTGCTGTATGTGTTTCTAAAGGTTCTTTACTCTTTAAATGACTCTGAAAAAATTGCGTCTATA